CTGGGAGGAGAGGGATTCTAGAACATTCCTGAGATTGTGAAGCCTACACAGGTGTAGGGTTTTTGGTGTGTTTTGTAGATCAGTGTGTCCCCAGTGCCCCAAATTGGACTTGGCACATGGTAGGTGCTCAGTAAATATTTGTGGAATGAATGAATGAATGAATGAATGAATGAATCAAGATGGGTTCCTTACTGACCGAAAGTAGACGTGTGGAATTATGTAGTTGAAGAGAGCCCCTGCCAGCTAGGCTGCCCAAGCTGGATGCCAGAAAGGCCAGCTGGCTCACCACCAAGGTGCACGTTTCTCCCTAGAGACCACGGGAGGACAGCAGGAAAGTGGAGGACCTCCCTCCACCCAGCCCCTGCAAGCTCAGAAGCCTGGTTTTCCTGGGTATCCAAAACTGATAAACTCCAAGGCCAAGGGTGATCATTAGAAAAAAAGAGGAAGACTTCTGTCCCAGGGGACACCAGCAGGTCCTGCCGACACACCTCCCTGGTATCTGCCCCCTCCTCTCCGATCCTCTGAGGTCTAGAGTCTCCTCCATCACCCTGGACCTCTCCTCTCCCCTCCTGGGCTGTCTCCAGGATGCATCTGGAGTCTACCTTAGGGCTGGGAAGTGTGGAATCAGGACAAGGCACGTTAACAGGGGCAGGGGGTGGGGCCACTTGGGCAAGATTTACATCATCGTATGTGGCTTCTTGAGGTACTGACTGGTAGCAACTCCTGGTAAAGGCAAAAACAACTATCAAATATACCAAGAATCTTTGCCCTCCGTGACCCACTTCCAGGAATCAACCCTTAGAAGTGATGACAGGAGGCGTTGCAATACACCTGAAAAAGGATGTTCTTGAACGCATTAACAATGATGGGAACTTGGAAGCTACATACACGTCCTGGAGAGAAGGGTTAAATGAGAGTGTGGTCCTCAGGAAACCCACTTATGCCCCCAGCATGCCGCAGGACCAAGAGATGACAGGAGCCTCCAAATGTAATTAAACCATGCCTGCAAAGGATTTTAGAAATTTGCACGAAGGGTAGGGGTTTGCAGAGATGGCTTACCGTTGCAGCGCGCATGGCATTTCACTCCAAACAGAAGGAAAAAAAAAACCTACACTCAGCTCCTGTCCCCAGGGCTCCCTGGGTATGTCCAGCCCCTGAGCACCCAGCTGTCAGCCAGACCCTCTGGATCCAGCATCCCCCATGGCCTCTGTCTTCTTCCTTATTAGATGTTTATAAAAAGAGAGATCTAAATGCGATGGGCTCCAGGCCAAATAGGGGGTCACTGGCACAGGCACCCACGAGCACGGCAGAAGCGGGCCACTGTCAGAAGGCGCTGTATATACATACGTATGTATGTACTTTTATCTATGTAAAATACATACACGGATGAAAAAAGAATCGAGGCGAATGTGAAGAAATGTAAATGTCATTTGATTTCCACTTAGGCCTCTTTTTCTACACCAATGCCTAAGTTCAGAAAAAACGTGGACTATCCTACCAAACGGCCTCGGCAGGGGACCCCTAGAAGTATGCGGGCTCTTTGTATCTGCATGCAATTTGATCTCTCTTCTCCATCCTCCCAAGGTCTGCAGGCTTATCCAGCACTCCTGCCTCCTCTCTCCTTGTGGGTGGTCCTCATGCCCAAAACCCCTTAGAGAAACACAGAGTTGCCAGCTGGTGGACGAAGGTGCCGGTTCTGGAGGCTCCCTTCGGGTGGCCCAGATGCCGGACCCTCCAAGCCTTCCTGGGAGCTTCGGACGGGAGGCTGTGCCTCTGAGCTCTTCCTGCTCCAAAGGCCCGGATGCGCCTGCCTTGTCTGCCTGCCCTAGAGCCCAGCCGGCCTTTCTCTGCCTTTCCCCACTCCCCACCGCCCAACTCCCACCTCCCACCTCCACCCCACCCCCCACCCCGCACCCACCCCACAAAGAGCTCTGCTGGATGAAACTTCCCGCCGCCGCCGGCAAAGAGGAGCCTAGAGAAGTAACTAAGACTTCTGTTTCTGGAAATGGCCCATCAGGTCACTGAAAACATACCCCCCCCCAAAAAAGTTATTATTTTTTAAATTAAAAAACAGATAGGATATTATAAGAGAAAGACTCTTTTTAAAGGCATCAAAGAGATGACAAGCTAGTGAGGAATTGATGAGCAGAGTCGCAGAGAAGAAAACCCAGAACGCAAAACCCAGCTCTCAAATCTGCTCTTGCCTCGAGGGCACTGGGATCCAGATGAATCTGCTTAGAAACTAAGCTGTGATTCCGATGGGCTCGTGGGCAAAAGTCACCGCCCAGTGCCCACCACAGTCTGGGGCCCTACTGAGCACCTCCCCTTCGCCAACCACTACCCCGAAGGCGTACACCCCCAGAGCAAAGGAAAACCAGAACTGAGCCAGCCCTCCGTGGGCCTGTGGCTTCACTCCGTACCCTCTGGTTGACTCAGGGAACCCCAGGCCTCGAGCCTGCATGATGGTGGCCCCGGCTCTCATACTGCCAGCAAGTGTCTGTCAGAAAAGCAGGGAAAGTCTTCTCTGGAAGAAGGTTAACGTCACCCTAGGCCTCAAATCATTCATACGCAGGAAGAGCCATCCTTGAAATCCAGGAACTCCTGGCAGGCCACCTCCCTGAGAAGGACACGGAGTGCCCGCCCCACGGGGCAGAAACATACCTGACCGCTCCCCATGCTGTCACGAGCCCTCACTGTGCCCTTTTCTGGGATGAAGCTGGACCCAGATGCAGGTTCTCTGTGACCTCAGAGTTGCGTGCATGAAGGAGGCCTCTTCTCCATAAGAGAAATGCAAAAACTTAGAAAACTGAAACCACTAAAGCCCATCACCATCTTTTCCCCCAGTGTTCTTTGCAAGGAGCCAGGAGGGTCTCTTGGGAAGCAGGTGGCCCTGCCGGGGGAGGGTGTCTAACACTGGGAAAAGGGCTCAGCCTGTTTGAGAGGAAAGTACCCCTCTTCGATGGGCTCAGGACACATCCCACCCCTTGGCCATTTCTCCTGAGGCTCACTCCCAGGCCTCCCTTGTCCCATCCCCATCCCTTCCTGCCCCTTCGCATCCAGTTGAGGGCCCACCACCGCTCCCACCCCTTAGAACTCTCCCAACAACGGGGGACTTTCATCCGCTTAACGTCTGACTTCGCTTAGTACGAATTCCACAGACACCAAAGCCAAGACTGTTATGTCCACGAGGGTGTTCACAGTTCCCAGAACACTGCCTAGCACAGAGGAGGGCTCAGCCGTTTGGTTTTTTGTTGTTGGTGTTTTGGTGGGGGGTTTTTATTTTAATTTTTTCCCCAAGCAAATGAATGAAATCACAGCATTTCCTGTGAAGCCCAGAGACTCTGAACAGCCAGCTACAGGCCTTCCCCCGGCCTTTGCTTCAGTGACGGACTTCCTCCTCCTCCAGGAACACTGGGAGCCCTTCTCCTTATCTCCCTTCATTTTCCTCTTCTTTTGTCTCCTCCTTTTGTACGAGACTTTTCAGGCGCCTGCGTCCTCCGTCCTCCGGCGCTTTTAGAGTAGGCTCTTCTAGGACAGTGCTGCTCGACTCTTTTCCATTTTAAAAACACTCCCAAATTCATTTACTGGCAACGTCCTCATACTACCGTCATTGTCGCTATCAAAAGTGGTCACTGCCTCACTGGTCCCAGTGGGAGACCCCGTACTGAGCACAGAGAGAATTAACAGTCTGTGTCCGCCTGGAAGCTGGAGGGAGCCTCACGGGGAAGGCGGGGCCAGTGAGTGTTCTCTGATGATGTCACAGATACATCAACAAGTGCCTGGGGAGGGAAGAGGGGGGAGGAGGGCGGGAATAGCTGTGACACCTTCCTAGAGAAGTAATGATATGGGCGGGGGGAGGGGCACGTGGGAAAGGGTTTGATCAGTCCTTGTGGTAGAAGGTGAGGGCCCCAGAGCCTGAGGGCACAGGGAACAGGGTGAACCCACTACTGCACGGGACAAGCAGGGGGATTTGGGATTTTTTGGTTGGGGGTTGTGGGGGGGTGATGGGATGGGAGGAGTAAGCAGGGCGAGGCAAGAGGGCAAGTAAAAAGAGTGTCATCGGCAAGAGTAGGAGGCTGGACGCCGCTGGCCTGGGGCCAAGGGAACATTCCAGTGGCAGGGATGGGGGACAGAAAGAACGCTTACAGGCAGGAACGTCCAAGGCACCCTTGTAAAAGTGTGTGCATGTGTTTGCGGTGCACAAGGCAAGGCCTCTCAGGAACATGCCCACGTCCTCCAGAAAACCCAAACGCTGCCTCCACGTCTCTTATGTGATAGAGTTTTGATTGCACCTGACACCCAGGGTGATGTGGTGAGGGGAGCGCAGATGTACAGAAGGCAAAAATCAGGAGGCAAAGACGACCCCATGGTCACAGGCCCCCAGGCCTCCAAAGAAAGCCCACGACGGTGGGATTGTGCCTGCCTGAGCTCCTTAGATCTTAAATCTCACCGGGGCCTGGACACCTCAGAGAATAAAGCCCTGGGGAGACAGGGCCATGGGTTGGTAGGCCACGGCACCACGTAAAAGTGGGGCTGGAACTGGACCTTGACTGGGGGGCGGGGCGGTGCAGGTGACATGGCGCGGAACCGCTGAGGACACAGCTGCACACGGGCACTGACAAAAGGGCTGTTCAGGGACAGGCAGGGGGCAGGGGCAAGGGGGGTCACGGTAGAAGACGGAGCAGCCTTCGGAGAGACTCCTAAGCTAAGTTAAAGAGTTTGGACTTTTAATCTGTTGGCAATAGGGAGGCAGTGAAGCTTTACTGACCACAGAAGCACTTGGGTCAGAGAGTGCCTGAGACCACCCCCCAAGGGTGGTGTTTGGGCTTCAGCCCCCCAGGCTCTGCCCCAGGGTCTCTCAGAGCGCCGCTAGGAGACTCCACAGGAGCTCAGACTGTGGGAAGGAGGGCCTGGAGGGGAGGAGGGCCACCAAGGCCAACAATGGCAGGGGAGGTGAGGAAGTGACGAGAACCCGAGAACCCGAGAACCCACAGCGAGCAGCTGGTCGGAGGCAAGGAGGGAAGAGGAGGGGAGGAGGAGGGCAGACATTGAATCAAAGATGATGCAGACGACCTTGATGCTGGGGAGAGGTCTGGAACCCCGGGGGACCCTGGCGAGATGCAGGTGGGGCTTGGGGAGCACCGGCGGGCAAATACTCCAGGTGAGCACACACGGGAGGGAGGGAGGGAGGGAGGGAGGCAAGGAAACCTTGACTCACACTGCTTTTCTCAAATGCAGACTTCCATAACACATTCTCTGTCTTCTCAAGTGCACAGAGGCTTCAGGCCATCTTCCTGCCCTAGGAAAGGCATCTGCGTCTCACTGGACAGAGACATGCGCTGCCCCAAAATGCCCACTGGGCACACTCACACACCCAGCCTGCAGCACCGGCAGGTGAAACAGGCAGCCCTCCCCTCCTCGTCGCTCACTTCTTCTGGGGGTCAGGCCGGGGGCCCACCACCCTGCTGTCCTCCTGACCCCACTGTCTGCCCATTTGCCTTTTCTCTGACACTCAGGCGCAAAGGAAGCCCTGAACATATATATCTGCAGTACCCCAGGGGCAAACATCTGAAATTCTCACCACCACCACCCCCCCCCCCCCCCCACCACCAAAACGCTGAAAATGTTGAAGATCTCCCAAAGAGACAAGTTTGCCAGCCTCTGGCACGAGCCTCCTGACCCTCTACCTCCACTTGCAAAGTTCGAACCTGTAACCTTTTATCTACTGCGACTAAAGTTTTCCGGGCACTTTCTCTTTCTCTTTCCTCTGCATCTATTTCTTCCTGGGGCCACTTTGTGTCACCGCCTGGTTAGTTTCCAAATACTCTGCTCTATTCCTCCTCTCCATGCTCATCATTTCCCTGGACAGTGGGGAAACTGCCCCATTCGCCATCTTTCTCTCCCAAAAGTGAGCTCTTCGGCCACCCAGGCGAGCGAGCGTCTGGCAACGTCTTTTTACGTTTGAATCCCCCCCTGCCCCCAGCCCAGCCTCCCCCCACCCCCGGCGCTGACAGATTCCCCACCCCCCCAAAAGCGCTGATCTGTCCCTGCCATACCCGATGACTGCAGGTCCCAGCCGTGGCCCGTTTTGCCTGACACCTGCCTGTGTCACACTTGGGAGGGTGCTGGGACCCGGCTGGCACGCCAAGGTGAGATCTTCTCTGTGACAACCCAGCCTTTGGTGTCCAATGGGCTCTCAAGGGCTTAGACCTTCTCGCTTCCGAATGGGAGCTTTTTTTTTTTTTTTTTTTTTTTTTTCACTTGTAGCTTGCTGAGAAGGAAAGGAAACTGTAGTATAGTGGCTTTGTTTTGTTTCTTAAGTCTTTTCTGCTCACGAAAAAAAGCCACGTGTTCATGTGCTTTAGCAACCAACCCTCCTACTGGGCTGCTTCTCAGACATCAGGGCCATCTCCCTGGCACCAGCCATCCAGGATGGTTTCCATCCTGGAAACCCCGTTCCTCCAAACAAGGTGGCCCTCGTGGGCATGGGAAGGAAGCCATCACCCCATTCAAGTCCCTGCTCCCAGCCCTCCTGCAGGGTGCCGGGCCTCGGTATCAGGGATGGTCTGTGGAGTCGGCATGTGGGACCGTCTGGCTAGGACCTCCGTGAGATTCTAATACAGAGGGCATCATTGTCTCTGGGGACCATTGTGGAAGAGGGGGCAGGTCAGAGGTGACCTCAGAAAGTCGAGGAGTGACAATGAAGCAGGGTACAGGAAAAAAGCAAGCTAAACCCTTGCTCTTCAGGATGTGGTTCCCTGGACCAGTATCTCCGGCCTCCCCGGGGAGCTTATTGGAAATGCAGAGTCAGGCCACAGGCCTGCGAGTTCTCACGCGTCTTCAAGGCTGTGTGGCCTTGGCCTTGGTGGACCTCACAGTGGTCCCCAAGTGGGCCTCCTGTGGGGCCCGCTGGCCTGGCTGTTGGCAGTCCAGGGCCCGGCTGCCATCTCCCCGCTCTGGGGACTCTGGCACCCCCACACAGAGCACCCAGCTCCAGCACTGCCTCCTCCCAGGGCAGGCACATTCCGGCACAGCCCCCAGACTGAGAGATATACCGCCAAGCCCCAGCAGCCACAGCCATGGTTGGCCACAGCCAGTGAGGTGGGGCCACCGCTCTCCCCAGTCCTTCTCTGTCCCCCTGAAGACAAAGTTCAAGGCTTTCAGACTCCTGAGTCCCTTGGGTCACCAAGCTGCTTTCAGGAAGCACCTTATGGTGCTTCCCTTTGGTAGCCCAACATTGTGAATCTGAGGTTCTTTATAGATGGGCCCATATCCACTCTCTGCCCCGAGTGCAGTGGCCACACCCTTCCCAGTCGGGACACGGGTCAGGTGTACTGTGACCGGCCCCCCCCCAACACACACACCCTGGCACCCTTGCCTGGACAGGGTGGGAAAACAATGAGGCATAGGTGTAGAAGAAAGAACTGGAAGAAGAGGAGGGGCCTCCTGCTGAGTCTTGCTTAGGGCTCTGGGTGCAGGTAGCCGGGCCTCAGAAGGAGCTTGCCCTCCTGTGGAGGCAAGAGTTGGAATTCCCATAAACTCTAGGACCCCAAGTCTCCTCAAGTGTATGTAGCACGAGGGCACTGGACTCCATGACCCCAAGTGACAAATCCCCCCATGTCCTCCTGTTCCGCAGTGCAGGACCCTCTAGCACAGACTTCAGGTGGGACCTAGGACCTAGTACCAGGACAATTACCAACACCATGGAGCTAAGCTAAGCAAAAGCTTTCAACAGAAAACTTTGACATAGAACTTAGTATATACTACCACAGAGGTGACTGTCTCAAGTCAGTGTCTGAGGGACAACTAGATGGAAAACAGGTAAGATGGAATCCCAACCTCACACAACAGCTGTTTTCAGGGCCAGGCAGAGCCCAAGAAGACTGGTGGTTCTGAACCCAGCGTGCACATCAGAACCACCGGGCGCTCCTCATGGGGTGATACCTATAGGGGGACAGGCTGGCGGAGCTCTGAGGGGTTGGGGGGCTTCAGCTCACTTTGGCCACAGAGCCCTCCCTGGGCAGGCTCCACGTGGCCGGCAGCTGACCCTCCACGGGCTCCGGTCAGTGAGGCACAGATGGCCAGTGAGTGGCCGTCCACCAGGGGAAGGACAGAAGAGGGTCAGGACCACACACAACCCAGTGGTGACTGTGGGCCCGGCAGCGAGCCGAAGCCCCCTGGTCATGCAGAGGTAAGGACGGACAGCGGTGGGCCAAGTTTCACGCTCACACAGGCTTCAGCCTCCTCTTGGCCAGGCTGAAATAGTTGGAAGGGGCATAAAGGGGAGGAAAGAGGAGGAGGAAAGGAAACTAGCCATTATCTGGGCTCCACTTGGGGGCCAGTGCAGACCCCAGAGGCCTCGCTCCCTGTACCTGGTGCTGGGGCCTCTCCCCTCCTCAGCCAATGGAGGTTAGGGACAGGGTCACTCGGTGGCAAGCCTACAAAATCCAATTCTAAGGCTCCCATTTAAACAATTGTCTTAACTATTTACGGACGCACCGGAAACACTCATCATATTGAGTCTAGGGGCGCCTGGGTGGCTCAGTCGGTTGAGCGTCCAACTTCAGCTCAGGTCATGATCTCACAGTCAAGTGAATTCAAGCCCTGCATCGGGCTCTGTGCTGACAGCTCGGAGCCTGGAGCTGCTTCAGATTCTATGTCTCCCTCTCTCTCTCTGCCCCTCTCCCATTCTTGCGCACATGCTCTCTCTCTCAAAAATAAACATTAACATTTTTTAAATAAACAATTGTCTTAAATATTTACGGATGCCAGAAATGCTCATAATAGCAGCACCAAAAATGCTCATAATACTGAGTGCAAAAATCCAGTGCTATGCCGCAATGCTGTAAAGAAGAATGTGAAGGTCACCCCCACACAAGTCCAGAGGTCACTCATCATCCAAGCAGAGCTGGTCCCTCCCTTGTCAGGGCTTCTGAGTCCCCACCCCAGCCCCCAGGGCCTGTCACATCTTTGCTTCTCCATCATCCCGGAAGTCCTAGATCTGGTCTTTCTCTAGACTCAACTTCTTGAACCTCCCAACTAACACAGAGCCTGGCATAAGTGGGCATTCAATAAATGTTTGCAAATGATGAGTGGATAAATGATGGATGGAGGGAAGGAAGGAAGGAAGGAAGGGAAAGGGAAGAGGGGAGTGAGGAGGGAGGGAGGGGAGAGGAGGAGCCAGAAAGGAATGAAGAGGAGGGTAGAGGAAGGGAAGGAAGGGAAGGGAAAGAGAGAAGGGAAGAAGTGGGGGAGGGGAGGAGACAGGGGCAAATTCAGAGGAAAACACAACCGAAATGTCGAGGGTTACTATTCTCTGGCTAACTTATTTTGCCTCCTTTTCAATTACCTGTCTTCCAAAATGTCACCAATTTTTTTTTAAAATCACTTTTATAATAGATCCACTTTTTATCAAAATTCTATTTAAGTCGTTCTGAAATGTTTTCTCATAACATTCCAAGTCCTATTTTAGGTGAGTCGAGAAGACACTGGCGCTAGGTGATGTCTATATGGTGCCCACATGTTCCAGAGCCAATACTAGAACACATGATCCACAAGTTCCCAAATGCTCAGAAAAGATATGGAACAGAGTAGCTGGATTCTGGGCAAGACCCCCACATCTGAGGAATAGGCATGCCCCTCGAGAAAGAAAGTAGTACCCCTGGGGGCTGTGGGATCCCTTGGGACGATGGGCCAGTCTCACCCTGAGGTCGGCTGCCCTGAAAGGCCCATGGCAAGGATGGAGAGAGGGAGACGTTAAGGAAGAAGACACCCTACCCGGGTCCATCTTCCTTCCAACCTACTTTGCATCCCCAAGGCTGAACTCATTCTGCTTTTAGGAAATCACTCTCATCCCAGAGGAGGAGCTGGATTTTCCAAGACAGACCCTCCAGTCCCCACCCCACCCTCCCTTCTCCCCTCTGCCCAGGTGCTACACCTGTGGACCCCACTGTCCCAAGCACGAGCACCTGTGGCCACGAACGCCCTGCCCAGGGGGAAAGAAAGTGGCCTCAGGAGAGCCCTAGGGGCCCGCACCCTCTCTGGGCCTCTGGAACCGTGTGGCTGCAGCGGGACCTCCAGGCAGCAGGCCCTGGTTGGAACGTGGCCTCCTGGGCTGGGACCGAGACCCAGCACCGGGTAGCGACGCAGCACTTTGCACAGCACTCGGGGCTTTGGACCTGGGCACGTCCACTACCATACTTCGGGTTCCTAGCTTGTAGAGCAGAAAGGATACCAGAAGCTACTTGAGTGGTGCCAGACACATGAACACATTAGTGCTGATGACACGCCCACTTTGCAGCGCCCCGATGAGGCGGGTGCTACTGCGCCCCTTTTACAGATGAGCAGAGGGGCTCGTGGGGAGGTCAGAGCAGTGCCCCCGAGGTCCCGTGGCTGGTAAATATTAGAACCAGGACTCGAGTCTGGCTCCAGAGCCTGAGCTCGCAAGACGGCGTCTAGAAGCTGTTTAAAGCACCACCAATAGTAGCTGATGCTCTGGTGTTGCAGATGTCTTAGTAAAGCAGAGGGTGGCCAAGGTGGGGCTCTGTGTGCCAAGCGCTTCCTTCTACTCTACCAGCCTTCCAAGACAGAAGCATGTCTGGACCGTTCACCTCCATGGCCCAGCAGACCCCCCATCGTGCCTTGTGGCTCCCTGAACACCCGCTGCACAGGTAATACAATGACACATTTATCAGGCACCCACCACATGCACCTTATCTCATTCAAATCTCTCCCTCCCTCCCTCCCCCACCCCACACACACACACACACACACACACACACACACACACACACACGGTGTGGGCAGCTGAGAACTGCCTCAGCCAAAGGGTCCAAGCTAGGTGCTGGGCATCCCCAGGCTGGCCTGCCTGACCTTGCAGCCTCTCCACGAGCGAGGGGTGAACGTGGAGGGATTCTCGAGGCAGAGCAATGTGCCCCTGGGGTAGCTTTCAAATGAAAATGAGATGATCCCATTTCTATAGCATACAACTCCGTTGTTCTTCACTTTCTGTCCCATAACATGCCCAGCAATTATCTCCACGGATAGTGATTCCAAGTAAAATAAGGAGAGAAAAGTACACAGCTGCCCTCCAAGACCTCGAGGGACTTGGGAGGGAGAGTGAGGGCATCAGAAAACAAGGGCTGAGGTCAAGGCCAGCTGAATCAATAATGGTCTCACATCTTATAGTGAGAGAGTCATTATAAAGAAAAACAACGCTATCTCAAAACAGTGGCAATGTCAAAGCACAACCCTACTACATCTTTGATTTGATTTCCAAAAAAAAAAACAAAAGGAGACTGGGAAGATCCCTTGTGAACCCGACTCCAATCTAGCAAGTGGTCCATCCTAACGGCACGGGCACCCAGAGCGGGCTCGTCATCACGTGTGGGCGTCCGCTGGTCTCCCCGCCATTGGTTCTCATGTCGCACAACAACGCTCACAACAAGGATGGAGACCACACACACAGTTTTCCCCGATGCGCAGCCGGTGTCAGTCCCCCAGACTGGGCCCACCCGCTGCCGACGTCTGCCGCGTCCAGGTCAGGACTTCAGCAGAGGGTCCCGGCCCCCAGCCTGTTCCCCTTGTCTTGCATCCCCGCCTGGTCCGCATCGTGAGGGGCCCTGTGCACACCTGTGGACACTGCAGCCCGCACACCCCCATCCCTAACCGCTCAGCCAACATGTAGGCACACCAGGGGCCCAGGCAGGATGCCCGGAAGCCAGGGACATTCAGGCAGAGAATTCAACCGTGAGATCTGAAAGGGGAAGGTCATGGGCCCGTGAAGAGGCCACAGACAGAAGGGGGCCTTCCAGAGTGTGGGGTGCCTACTGGGACGTGTGCCTTTCAGTGTTCTTGACCCAGAGCTCAGACGTCTTAGGCCATCCCGCGAGTAAGCTGCAATGGCCTCTGAAGAGAAGCTCCCTGCCTCCTTCCCTCAGGGGAAAGTGCTAGAGAGCCCAGGAAACTCACAGCCCAAGATCTGTCCCCTTTAACCAACAGACCCCGCAGTGACAAGACCTTCCTGATCCTGGTCCTCTAGAAGACCAAGACCATCCCCAGGCTCCCCACGTGGTTGGCCGCACTCCCAGGCTGTTAAGGCACTAGGCCAACAGGAGACTTGTTTTCCAACGGGGATCCCGGGAGGAGGAGGTGTGGCTCTGGATGGGAACAGCCCAGGGTCCGTGGGAAGGACAGCAGAACCCCAAGTGGGTTCCAGGAAGGACACCTGCAGAAAGGACTCTCCAAAGAACTGAACAAGAGAGTGGATGCAAACGCACCTGGCCCACAGGAGGGACTCGAACGCCTCTGGTGACGTGGCTGGCAGCAGCGACATTGTCTTGAGTGACTCTGTGCCAGGCACCTGCAGTGTGCGCTTTGCTAGATCATTCCTTTGATCACAACAATCAGAGGAGCTTTGCTCTCATATGGCCGTTGAGAGGAGTGAGGCCAGGATCCCCCAGCTGGTCAGCAGCCAGGCCAGGAATCGCACTGGGGTGCGTCCGTCTGCCTCCCAATCCTCCTTCCAGTCCCCAACCCCGCCACACCACGCTCAATGCCTCAGCTGGTCTTCCTGCAGACTCTGAGGAGAACCCCACACACGCCTACCTGCCCCCAGCTCCCAGGACAGGCTGGAGGTTAAACAACGAGGCCAAGACTCCAGGCCCCTGCTTTGCCAACACCCTAGAGTTCTCTGTGCTCCTGTCCTGTGTGCAAAGCTCCTGGAAAGCCCATCCCCAGGAGGACAGAGCTTGCAGATAAGCCAACCAACCACACCCAGAAAAGACCCAACAGTGTCTCACCTCAGCACGTTTTTTTTAAGTTTATTTATTTTGAGAGATACGGAGACCACGTGAGTGGGGGAGGGCAGAGAAAGAGGAGAGAGAGAGTCCCAAGCAGGCTCCACACTGTCAGTGCAGAGCCAGACGCGGGGCTCGAACCCGTGAACCTGTGAGATCATGACCTGAGCCAAAACCAAGAGTCTGATGTTTAACCGACCGAGCCACCCGGGCGCCCTTCACCTCACCAGGCGCACATTTTGAGTATACTTTACAAGGAGACCCACAGCCAGCTACTTGGTGGACCAAAGACTCGGGTAACAATATAGGGTATGGCTCACAACCACCTGAGTCTGTCTGGTTCCCCAAAATCATGCAAAATAGACCCTGTTTTCACTACTGTGTGTGTGTGCCCTTGAGTCCACATCAAGTGCTCTTGAATTCACTCATAAAATCACAAGAACGTTTCAAGATGCCAGCACCACCAGGCCCAAGGTCAGCCCTGGCCCCCACATTTCTCAGCAGGAGCCATCTGGGGGGCTTCTTGGGGGAGACCCTTTGTCTGCACTGGGTGAAGGGGGGGGGGCTGCAGCAGACACCTCCCCAGGCCCCAGAGCTCACTCACCCCTGGCCCTGGTGGTTTCACAGGATGAAACCACCTAATTGCCTAAGACAAGACCTAACTCCGAGCCCTCAGAAGACCCAGGGAACTGTTAGTGGGGAGAAATGTACGGAATACTGGGTCCTGCAAATTCACGGTTCCGGGGCCCTGGGAAGAGGTGTGCAGGGGGGAAGTGGCTGCAGGCGACTCTATCAGGGAGGACTGTCCGGTGTGGAGTCCCCTCCCCTGCCCTGCCCTCCCCTTTTCTCCAACTCCTTTCCCTCCCCTTCTCTCCTCCCCTCCCCTTCCCTCTTCAGGAAATGACACCACCAATGTCCACTCTGCTGACATGGTTGCCACAGTCTCACCGGCAGGTCTGGGGCATGGGCACACCCTATTCCCTCGGATCTTGCTCTTCTGGATCCTCTCCCCCTGATCGCACTTAAATGGTATCCAAACACAGGAATCCCACTGAACAGGGCAGGGAGGGGAGACAAGACTTTCAGGGACGATGTGCCAATTCCTCACAACACGTCATTTTGCAACAACACCCCAAACTTTCCCGCACACCCCCCCACCCCCGCCCCGGCCACAACGTGAGAACAGCCATATAATGACTACGTTCAGGACAGCACACATGGGCGGTAGAGGGAAGGGGTTGATAATTATGAGTCTCCTTTCCCTTCATGCTTTCTGTAGGTACCGACGGCACACCGGGAAGGGCAGGTTTTGTGTAGAAGGGGGCGCACTGCGGGGGTTGATCCCCAACTGAATCCCCCAAAATAGAAGGTTAGGTGAGGTGTCGGCCAACCCTGGGGGCCTCCTGCCGACTCTGGAACACGCCTCCTCTCCGCACCCCCAGCCCGGCCCCTCCGTGGGTGCCCATAGGACCCTACCCCACAGGAGACCCTCCGCCACCGCACCTTCCCTGCAGCCCTGCTGGGAGAAAGAACCGCCCCGGACGACTGCAGCTGCAAGAGACGTGAAGAGCAGGGCAGACCACCCCCCCCCCCCCCCCCAGCTTCTCCAGAACGTCTAAGGACACCACGTGAGGACGGAAGCAAATAGCCAGCTTTCCTTCCCGGCGCTCACTCGGGCAGGCGGACCCAGCCTGGACTTGGCCCGTTCCTGCCCCTCCAAGCCAGGTAGGTAGGAGGCAATAACAAGCCAGCACGTTCTGACACTCTCTTCCCTGGAGACACCCCCAAGATTCTCCAAAATCCCCACGGCAGCTCCCAGGAAATGACCAGATGTGCCTACACGTATGTGCACAAACACCGCACGCCCGCCTCTCCCCCAGCACCATTCCCGCTCTCAGCTTTTCCCTAAACCACCAGGACCAGGTGCCTCCCCCTTAGCCCCCCGCCTCTGCCCTCCTCCAGGCCTTGTGCCCGCGCCCCTGATCACCAGAACCAGAAGGCACCTCGCTGGCCTCCGGCTTAGAAAACATCCAACGCAACAAACCGACGCATGCATGGGTCATGCCAAAAGGGTCGTTTTTCCGTTTGTTTGGTTTTTTTAATTTCTTTTTATTTAAGAGCCTGCAGCGCTGCAGCTCTGGAATTTGGAAGGTCATTCCTGGCGGCCACGCCTGCCAGGCCCGGTGAAAGGCACCCGGAAGGCGGCGCGAGGGTTTCTGTGTAAGGCGGAAGGATCCGGCTTCCCCGCACAGGGTTCCAGTCCCAAGGTTCAGAGGGCACACAGCTGCTAGGCGCCGGTCCCACTGAGTCACCGCTCTGGCCCTCGAGTACCCTGCGGGGGGAGAGGTAAAGCAGGCCCGCCCCAGGGACAAACAGGGCGGAGAAGAGCAGGAGGAAAGTCAACAAAGGACGTGCGAAAGAGGGAACAGAGGCACAGCTGGTTGTACAGGCAGGCTCTGCACCACGCCCTTGCCCCAGCAGGCTCCCCAGACACCCCCCTCTCTCCTGCAGAGGCCATCGCACCGTCCCGACAGCCAGGGCCTGGGGAACCCTTGGACCCGGCAGCACTGACAGCCCTTCTCCGGAAACTGAATAACCTGAGAACAGGCGAGTCAGAAACGGCTACAGAGTTTTCACCCACAGCGGTGGTGCAGGCCATAAGCAGGCCAAGTGCACGAACCCTGCAGAATGCCAGAAGAGAGGGGATAGAAAACGCAAAACCCCTCTCCAGAGAGAACAGAATCCCAGAGCCCCAAAGGCACTGCTCAAGCGGCTAATCTCAACCTCGGGAAAAGAGCAAGACGGGAGGTCTCCATCCACCGGAGAGGTCAGCCCAAGGCCCTGTTTCCGGAAGCCAGCACATGTCTGGGCACACAGCTCTGAAACGAGCCAGCCCCCCCCAAAACCCCTGATCCACACCTTCAGGAGGGGCCTTCCTGCTGTCACCTCCTGGGTCCCGGTGGGTGTCCGGTCCAGCCTGGCCTAGAACAACTTCAAACGTGGTCCCCGACACTGTGCCTTTTTCAGGCAACCAAATCCCCATCCCTCTGAATCACCACGGTGATTTTCTAAAATTACATTTCCAAGCCCCAACAGCGTAGAACAGGGCAGAGAAACACACGGAGGATGTTACTAACCAAAGGCTGCCTCGTGCTGTCTTTTCCTCCCAGAAAGGGAGAAGTTATTTCACATGTGCACACGCGTGTGCACACACATGTACGCATACACACACATACATATAGGTTTTTCCCTGATACACAAAATTCTTTGTGAACTAGCTATGTCTAATTCTGCTGGACCCTTTTTTTGAAAAAGGAGAGGAAAGGAGCCACAAACACCAGTATATTTCTGCTAGGGCTGGCTGGCTCTAAACATTTCAACTTTGAACTTTCACATAGCTGTCACCAAAGGCCAGAACTTGGCCAAGCCCAAAAGACCACTGAAGGGTCAGACGTCTAGAATGTCGTAGATCCAGGAGAGCAGAATATCAGAAGTTAGAAGCTGAATATCCTCTAGGCTTTTTTTTTTTTTTTTTTTTTTTTTTAGGTTCCTGTTAACTTCTGATCTCTTTACTTTTGTGAACAGTTGCCTTAAAGTTACTTTTTTTAAGTCAAAATGTTTCTATCCCTTGCCCCGTAGCAAGGCAAAAACCTTCTTGAGGAAGACAGGGTGACATTTTAAAGGGGCATCCAGAGGGTAGTAGAGGCGACTCTCCTGCAGTGATATTCTGAGCTGATGTGCGACACACACAACTGTGCCAGAGTTTCATAGTGTTTGTTTTGGTTTCAACATCTCAGACAAGACAGCTTCCAGATCCTTCACATCCCAGGCTGCAGCTGACCAACGTTCCACAGGATGCCAACATGCTGGATATAGATTTTACCTAAAAGAAAAAGAAGAACCAGTCAATGCCCTCGGCAGAACCCTGCATCCATTCTGACCCTCACAGTCTCCATCCCATAGGCCACACTCACCCAACCACAGGACCTTTGAACATGCTATGTGGAAGGTAACTCCTTCTGTCCCTTCAGCTCCTCGCTCAGGATCCTAGCTCCCCATGCAGACCCCCTAGTACAGAGCTGCTTCTCTCCTTGTACTTCTCCTTCCTAGCAGTGCTACTGGTGTTTACTCCAGGGCTCCACAAAATTTTTCTGTCGAAATCCAGACAGTAAACATTTTCAACTTTGTGGGCCCTACATTCTCTGTGGCAACTACTCAACTCCACCCCTGTGGAACAAAAGCCACTGTGGATAATAGGAACATGCTTGAGCAGGGCTGTGTTCCAATAAAACTTTATTTGTGGACACTGAGATTTTATTTGCAAATTTTTACAGGTCATGAAATGGTAGCCTTCTTTTAATTCTTTTTCAACCAGTAAAAATCATTCTTGGCTCACGAGCTGTGCCAAAACCAGGCAGACAGCCATATTTAGCCCATGGGCCATAGTTTGCAAATCCCTGGTTTATGCAATTATCTGATTCACGTCTGGCTCTTGCTTAGGCTGGGGGCTCCTTGTAGGCAAGACCCATGTCTGAGCTCACTCATCTTTAAACCCCTGGCACCAACCACAATACCAGGAGTGAAAGAAAGCCTGGAAACTAAATCCACTCAAGACATCATCCAAAGAGACTCAGGAGAGGAGGGAAAATCTGTGAGGTCAGAGCCACCAATGTCCTCTGCTCATGTTTGATCATGGGCATCAAAAAATCATACATGTAAAAATAGTGGGGATTTAGGAGAATTTACAAAATAATGAATTTCTTTTCATAATGTTACATGACCCCAAATATAAATATTATCATCATCATCAGGTAACTATTTTCTAAAAGATAACAAACATCCTATTTTTAGGAAATACACACTTAAGTATTTGCCAGAAAGGAACATGATATATGTAACTTACCCTCAAATGGTTCAGGAAAAAAAAAAAAATCTGTATGTACACACACACAGAGCCATCATAAGGTGACTGAGGTGAAACATTATACCAGGAAAATTTGGGTAAAGAGTATACTATTTTGGGGAGCACCTGGGTGGCTCAGTCGGTTGAGCATCTGACTTCGGCTCAGGTCATGATCTCACAGAGACTTCAAGTCCCGCATTGGGCTCTGGGCTGACAGCTCAGAGCCTGGAGCCTGCTTCAGATTCTCTGTCTCCCTTGCTCTCTGCCCCTCCCCCACTTGAGTTCTGTCTCTCTCTCCAAAATAAACATTAACAAAAAAATGTTTTAAAAAAGTATACTATTTTTGTTGTTGCAACTTTTTTTAGGCTTGAAATTATTTAACAAAAACTTTCAAGAAAAAAGAAAAAACCAGGGGCTCCTGGGTGGCTAAGTCGGTTAAGCATCTGAGTCTTGATTTCAGCTCAGGTTGTGATCTCACAGTTCACGACTTTGAGCCCCACACTGGGCTCTGTACTGACAGCACAGAGCCTGCTTGGGATTCTCCCTCTCCTCTCTCTCTCTACCTCACCCCCACTGTCTCTCTTAAATAAAAAATACACTTTTAAAAAAAGAAAAAACACAAAGATACACTCATATTGGCCACTAGGATACCCTACGCAGCAGACTGGTGGGCGGAAAAGACAAGTTGCCACAGCCGTGTCCAATCTGTGCAGGGTGGCTTTTTTCCAGCATCCACATGCGCCCTCCTCCCTTGGGCTGGGGAGTGGGGGCTAATCTCCCCCAACTGACATCCACGGAGCCCAGATGCTCACCCCACTCTGCAGATGCAGACTGAGGACCTCAGATGTAAAGACACCCACCAGGGCTGCCCCCCTCCCACAAGAGTCAGGCTACATCCACCGCGGGTTCAATGTAGGGGGGCCGAGGGACTGGGGACCGAGCTTTCAAAGCTTCCAAAGACCAAGAAAGGGACCCGAGTGAAGGGACTGGATTCCCAATGGCTCCACCGAAGCGGCCGTGCCTAGGAAGGGGAGCAGACTTGGGCCCTGGCCTGCTGAATCTGGGAGGAGCAGAGCATGAGGAGTCACAGAGGCACGGACTTCACGTAGGGCACACAGGCCGGAGACTCACCTTCTGATCCCGGGACATCTCAGGGATGCCGCGAGACCACACCCAGGGTCGTCCGCCAGGCCCCTGTCTGTGCCCACGCCCCCGGGCAGCCGCGAACACCCCTGTGCTTATAGAATAAATGTGCTCAAAGGACGGAGTGGGACGGGGCGGGCGCAGGGGGCCCCCCATGAATCACCACGCTCTGCACAACTACTCAGCTCCTCCACAGCACAGTGGGACGGGGGAAAGGAAACAAGAGTTTACACACACCTCCAGAGGGGAGCAGTCACCCTGGGTGCCTGCGATCGCCCTCAGGGGGGTCACCAGCTCTCCAGAAGGAGGCGAGCCCCATCACAAGTCTGGGCCGTGGGGTAGGCTTCAGACTCTCCGGTGACGCTGTGACTCAGGAAGCTCCAGGGGACCGTGGACATGGACACTAGGGCTGTTTCATCTCCCTGCCTCCCCAAGGCCATGCAGATTTGGGGTTCTCCCCCAGAGGGCCCCGTGGGGTGGGGGACAAGCTCACGGCTGCAGCTCCCCCGGCTCTCCCTCCACTCGCTCAAACCCACACACATCACACATGCTGTCGACTCTCCCCCTCACTCCTCCCCGCCCCTCAGTCCGCCTTGGGGTGCTTCCTTTCAAACCCACCATGAGCTTCACCTCCTCTGGAAAGAGCTTCCTGCCCCGGCGAGGTAACCCTCCTGGCTGTCCACAGCACCCCGTTCTTTCCTCCCAGCGGTTCCCAGGCTTCTGGCTGTCCCTCCCCAACCCCTGCCCCGGGCTCAGCACAAGCTCCCGGGGCACAGGCCAGGTTCACCCAACCTCACTCACAGTGAATGGAATTAGCAGGCTCGTGAGCCGGACACACAGAGGTGGGGGATGCGCAGAGATTTCTAGAAGGACTCTCTCAGCCTCTTTCTCTCCCCCAGAACAGCCAAACTGCTAACAACACTCCTGCTTCATCAAGAAGAGAAACCCGAGAGAGTCTCAGAGCTGAGCCCCCCGCCCTCCCTGGCAGCTCCCTGAGAAGTGAAGACACATTTGGGCTCCATACCCCATGCTTATTCCTTTCAAACCTCCAAGCATCCTGTGCAACGACACTGGGTTATAACCATCCCGGAGAAGGAGAAGAGCGTGTCCCAACCTGTCTGTGTCCCGTGCTTTGTCTGTCAGCAGAAAAAAGCCCTCGGGGCGCCTGGGTGGCTCAGCCAGTGAAGCATCCGACTTCCGGCTCAGGTCATGATCTCAGGGTTTGTGGGTTCGAGTCCTGCATGGGGGCTCCGTGCTGACAGCTCAGGGCCTGGAGCCTGCTTCGGACTCTGTGTCTCCCTCTCTCACTGCCCCCCCCCCCTCAAGAATAAATAACATTTTAAAAAAGAAGAACCCTCAACACACAGGGTGTTGCATCTCTGTACCTGTGAGCACCTAGCAGCCGACCTCTCCGCACAGCGGTCCAGGACACCTCAGGGAGGTGAGGCGAGGACCACCACTGCATGTCAACCGTGCTCCCACTTTCATCCGGGACACCAACCACAGTAAGGAGCAACCAAACAACGTGGCCAGCTTTTGCAAAAGCATCACTAAGATTATTTGTGCTAGGTTTTGGTTGTTTCGTGTTTTTTCCTTTGTTCTTTTCACTTGATTCTTCTGTAGCCCTATAAGCTCTGGTGTGTGTGTGTGTGTGTGTGTGTGTGTGTGCACATGTGTGTAGGCAGGAGACAAGTCACATTCACTTAGTGGTAAATTTTCATCGCCACGCAAATTCCTGTTGGTATAGGTTCTCTGCTCAGAGACCTAAAACTCAAATAGTTTTACGGTGCATGATACCTTAGCAGAGGACTGCCCCCAGATGGCCAATACTGCTCTTCAAAGAAACAGAAACGTCCCCTGACATGCCCGTCTTTCAGACAGAAGCTCAGCCTGTACAGAAGAGGGCTGGCAGAGCATCGTCCAAGCAGGTAGGGGGATGACCCCCTGCTGCTGTCTGAGGTCCAGGTAAGTTACTCTGGCATCCTCAGGGGAACCTGTGGGTCGCTGATTCCTTCCCGGCCTCAGAAGCTCACCATACCCCATTGCCCCCACAGCTGCCCACATGTTGATGCTCCTAACAGCTTCGTTCCTCACTCTAGAACCTTCGTTCCAGAAGACGAGGAAGCAGGGAACAGAAGGGCCATTTGAGCCCAACCTTCAAGAAGTCACTGCTCTGGGGCACCTGGGTGGTTCAGTCCATTAAGCATCTGACTTCAGCTCAGGCCATGATCTTACGGTCCATGAGTTTAAGCCCCGCATCGGGCTCTGTGCTGACAGCTAGGAGCCTGGGGCCTGCTTCAGATTCTGTCTCCCTCCCTCTCTCTGCCCTTCCCCAACTCTCTCTCTCTCTCTCAAAAATAAGTAAACATTAAAAAAAAAAAACATTTTTTTTAAGTCACTACTCTGTGCTTAGCAACTTCCATAAGGTGCCCAGGACTCTGAGCCCCAGGCTCAGTCTAGCACAAGTAAGTCAATCTGCTTTCTCCTGCTCCCAGCCTTGCCTCCAGGGGCCTCTTGCTGCAAACAGCCACCTAATGCCCTTTGTTCCAAAGACAAGATGCCAGGCACAGCGCCTGGCATCCCAGCGGAAAGCTCATGGCTTTCTAATGAGATTCCCACAGGAAGCTCTATTCACAAGAGGGTGGGAGGCGGGCACTTGTAGAGTGCATGCCTGGATTCCCACAGGCCACATCTTTTCCAAACCTAAGAAGCAGAGGGACGTAGCATGCAAGCTTGGGCGGGAGGAGCAGTGGGTCTCCCCAGCTCCCAGCACCCACCTTTGCACCCCACGTGTCACAGCCGCCACTACCACCTACAGACAACCGGGAGGAAGGGTG